TATATATATATATTAGCCAAAAACTATAAAAGCTAATATATATATATTAGCCAAAAACTCCTGTGAGGTCATTCTAATCCAGTGGTTCTCATCCTGTGGGTCGTGACCCCGTCGGGGGTTGAGCAACCCTTTCACAGGGGTCGCCCAATTCATCATAGTAGCAAAATGACAGTGATGAAGTAGCAACGAAAATGATTTTATGGTTGGGGGTGGGGGGCTCACAACACGAGGAATTTATGAAAGGGTCGCAGTATTAGGTTGAGAACCACTGTAGTCTGTCCCATGGGGTCATTAGTCATGGGAATCAATTCACTGGCACTCAACAATGACAACATTGAATAAAATATCCTCGAAGCAACAGAAATATTTTCTCCTTAGGGGGGGGTTCAGGTACCTAGGAGAAGAACCCAGCTGGTAAAAGACAAGCACCCTAACAAGCACCCTAAGTGATACCAGCTCCAGGCAACCCTGGCTTCTGCAGGTCACAGTTGCCCTGGAACAGATCAGAGGCAAAGATTCTTCCTTAGTATCAGTTTCTAATCCAGCTTCAGTGCCATGACTAGGCCACACCGAGATCCGGCTCCCTCTGCCCTCCTTTGACTTCTTGCATCTTTTCTACCCCCTCTTGCTTCTTGTCCTTCCGTGTCTCGGCTCCTGGCCAGCATCTGCTTGCTCTGTGTACCATTGTGTGTCCCGTGTGTCCTGTTTGCGTTAGCTCCTGATTGCTTCCTCAGCTCCACTTCTACCTCCACTTTCAATGTCCTTACGAGTCCTCCTTCTCTAAGTCACACTGCCAAAGTCTGATTTAAAACGATCTCAATCGCTCAGGCCAGCCCCAGGGTCAGGTGTCTTCTGCAGTCAGTCAGTTGTGACCGGCGAGAGACAAGCTCGTAAGGTAAGACGAGATGAGGGTGAAGGGTTGGTGCTCAGAGAAGGGAGGAATCGAGACCCAAAATGTACCTGTTTCATGGTTTGAAATAACTTGAATAATTCTTTCTAGGAGAAGGTGATGCAATAGAGTCAGTAACCGGGGGAGGGTGGGTGCTGGTTCCAGTTCAGGGCCCTCGTTCCTCACTGGGAAAGAGGGAGTGGGGCTTCTGTGGGGCCAAACCCAGCTCTCCTTCACCCCCGTTCTTCCTTCCTCACAGTGGGACCTGGTATGTACACACAAGCACTTGCCCCAGCTGAGTCAGGCCATATTCATGGCAGGGTTGGTGATCGGAAGCCTGGTTTTTGGGACCTTGGCAGACAGGTGAGTGTCAGATCGAGGAACAAAGACATGGGCACACCAGGCTGGGACGGGAGGCTGATGTTCATCAGAGTACAGGGGGAGACAAAAGACTGGTCCATTGGAGCCTAACCGTGTCTGGAAAGCTTGTAGGGGTCACCCCATGGTCCCTCAGTACCTTCCATGCCTCCTCTTTTCAGTTACTCAGCCCCGTTACCTTGTGAGAGCTAGCCAATGGTACTCTTAAGTGTATTTCCCTGTGGAAGGAACTGAGGCTCAAGGATGCTAAATAACTTGTCCAAATGGTCTAGAAATAGCCCAGGAAAGCTATCCGCTGTCAGTTATGAGATGCAGAGTTGGAAAGCAAATTTTTTAAACTTTTCCTTCTTTATTACTGCACTGTTTAAATTTTAATAATGATTCACTACTTTTTGTCATTTATAACCCATGGTTTCTGCCTCCCCGAAGAAGTATGTTTCCACCACTTCTGCTTTGTATGTGACATATGGGTGTCATCAAAGCAAACATAGACGTCAGACTCAGTCAGAACTGGGAACAGTTTCAGATGTGCCCTTTCATCCAACAGGTTTATCGCATATCGCTCACCTGTCATACAATTCAACAGTTCAATCACATCAACAAGAGCTGCACCGTGATCACCACAGTCAGTTTTAGAACATTCTCTTCACTCTTGTACTCATCATTATTCATTCCCCCTTTTCCCCCCAACCTCCCCTGTCCTGCCCCCAAGGAATCATTGATCCAATTACTGTTTCTGTAGATTTACCTATCCTGGATTTCATATACAGAAAAACAATAAGAAGAACAAACGACAGGGAAAAAAACCTAACACAAATAACAAAGTAAAACATATAAAAAGTTTCAATCAAACAGAAAACATTAAAAATTAAAACAAATGCCAATGGATCGTAAGGAAAATCAACTGAGAGGGTGCTAAATGTTAACCTCACTGCATTTGCAACAATCCACTTTCCAGTGCATTCTGCATGTGAGCAGAGCCAGTCACACCCCTGGTCCACGGTCAGAGGGGGATTGCCCAGGGGCTTAATCCGTGGGTGTTTCTCCTTCGCTTTAAAAAAAAAAAAAGAATCAGCATTCAAATGGGTCTCAAGGGGGATAAAATGATAAGGCATGGAGATAAAATGATAAGGCATGGAGATAAAATGATAGGGTATTACACTTTGACCTATCCACGTCTGCTGTAACCGACTTTACAATGCTCCATGTCTGATAATAGGTCTATTCATACCCGTCAACTGTGATCTGAGGGCATTCACTGGGGGCTGAATCCATGTGTGGCAAACGGATTTGGGGCTTCCACTGTCATCCATAACCTTTTGCAAACCAGGGGTTCACAATTTAAGCTCTGAGGCCATTTACCGCTTCAGATTTGGATTATATTATTTGCAATCTTTGGATCACAGCGCTGGTGTGCTTCTCCCACGTGGACTTAGTGGATGCCTCACTTAGATAGATGGCTGCTTGTTTGAAAGCAAGCCTTTAAGATCCCGGATGCTATTCTTTCGGCTAGACAAGCACCATCTAGTTTTTTCACCGCACTTTACTACAGCACCCATATCTTCAATCATCTCTTCATACACCCAGCAGGGCCATGTCATAAGAACCAACTGTTGTTATATTGGAACCAGAATTGAGTGCAAGCCCAAAATATATCCATGCATCTCTGGTTTATAACTGCCTCTGATTCACCTTAGAGACATCGTTGTCATTTTATGTTAGAGAACATTATCAGTCATCCCCAGAAGCATCGATTTCATGGCCATCAGATCAGTGCTGACTTACATTCACTCTATGGGCAGGCTAGAACTGCCCCTGTGAATCTCTGAGCCTGCAACTCTTCACAGCAGTAGAAAACCTCGTCCTTCCCCTGCGGAGCTGGCTGGTGATTTCAAGCTGCTGACCTTACAGTCAGCACACCAATGTGCAGCCACTATGAAGAGGTCGTGTCATTCACTTAGCCAATGGCTCAGAGGTGCTTTTCGCTACATGTCTACAAGCAAGTCACACAACATGCTCATTGTGTTTGTCCAGGTTGGCTAGAGAAACAAATGCAGGGAGACACTCACATGTGTATAGGAAAGAGCTTTATATCCAAGAGTAATTGTATATTAAGAAAACATCTCAGCCCAGTCCAGATCAAGTCCACAAGTCCAATATTAGCCCATATGTCCGATACCAGTCTGTAAATTCCTCTTCAGACTCACACAGCACATACAATGACACCGAATGCAGAAAGATCACAGGCCAGTAGGTGGAAAGTCTTGTGGATCCAGTGGCGGTGAAAGCATCTCAGCGCTGGCAGGGGTCTCCACGTGGGTCCTCCAGCTCCAGGGCTCTGGCTCCGTCAGCATAGCTCCATGTGGCTTGTCAGCAGCAATGTGTAGCCGAGAGAGTGTGTCTGGCCTCCAGTGAGCTATTTATCTCCGTGGCGCCTCCAAATGCGGTCATCAAGCTGCGAACTGATTGGTAGACTCCACCCCTTTGCAAGTTGACAGTAGAGTATGCCACTGCCACACTCTTTGTCTTAGTTTTCCTACTGAAGAAAAGAGAGGTGGTGACCCAAGTCCCCAGGGTTACGTTGAGGGCTCAATTAGAGAATGAGAGATTTTGAGCGGGAACCCAATGTTTGTCACCCTGACCTTAACCATCTTTCAGGCCAAACACGATTTAAAAAATAAAACTGTAGGGTGGGAAGTAGGGGTGTACTTTCCATGGAATAAAATTTTAAGCATTCGAAAAATGGTTGAAGGTCAGTCATGCACCAGGGCAGCTCTCTTCTTTGTAAAGTATAAATCATAGTCACAACTGCCTTGCAACATTGTCCTTAAAAGAGAAATTAAAGATCACAACCTGAGACCTGTCTCTTGAAAAGTTTGACAGGTGTATAGCATCATCAATCAATTGCAGAAGAATTCTTCTCAACCGAGGGTAGCAGTTCTTGAAACTGGAGAGGCTGTCAAATATCAGATTTCCATACAGTCAGCAACCCTTGAGTGAAGCTCTGTGATTCTAATGAGAGGGCCGTTCTTCTGGACAAGTGAGAGGGGTGTTTTCCATGGAAACCTTCTCTTAGACGTGAAAATAGTTCATGTACTTGGCTGCCAATCAGAGGGTTGGAGATTAGAGTCCACCCAGAAGTGCCTTGGAAGGAAGGTCTGGCAATCTTCCTCCAAAACCAGCAACGGAAAACCCTGCCGACACATATGAGATTGCTAAGAGCTGGAATCAACTTAGTAGCGACTGGTTGACCTAGGTTTACCAGGATCTGTCAGGACCCTGGACAGCAGCAACCCATCAAGGCGCCAAAGACTCAGGCCCCCCAGGTCCCAGCCTTCCTCTTTGGTCTCCACTTAGCCTCCCAACACCTACCTCATGGTCACATCAGCCTCACAGATATTTGTCAGATTTCCCAGCACACCAATGAGCCAACAGCTAGGGACCCGGAGGAGGGGAAGAAGAAATGTGCGCTAAACCCATCTTTCCTCTCCCCGCATAGGCTGGGCCGCCAGAAGCTGCTGAGCTGGACCTACCTGCAGTTAGCAGTAGCCGGTTCTTGTGCTGCCTTCGCACCCAACTTCCCAACCTACTGTGCTTGCCGCTTCCTCTGCGCCATGGCTGTGAATGGCATCAACTGCAACTCCCTAACGCTGAGTGAGAAGGGCGCTGGGAGGGTGAGGTTGGTGCAGACTGCTGAATCATAGACTCAGCTCTTGCCCTGAGTATGAAGCTGAGTCTACCTGTCCCGGTATACCCTGGAAAAGGTCGTTACCAGGGCCAAAAAGAACTCAAACCATGGTCTGTTTGGTTGCTCTGGCTTTGGGGAGGCAGCAATTCACCACCACCTCCACCCCAGATATTTTGGAGTCCCTGAGAATAGAACACACTTGATAGGCACGGAACCGGTTTGCTTAGAGAGGTCAAGCGCTGAGCTTTTCATTCAACCTTCATTCACTCAACGAACTTTCCACAGACCTTCCTTTGTGTCAGACCCTGAACTAAGAACCCAGAAGTGAACAAGGATCCTGCCACGACCTCACAAAGTTAGCAAGCTACTTATGTGCTGTAACGGGGGCTGAGGACCGTTCTGAGAAACATAGGAGCTACAAAATGGGGTGTCCAGTCATTCTTTCAGAGCCCCCCACAAAGTCCCAGGTGTCACTTATGACATAAGAGCTCAGAACTCAAGGATCGTGAGAGGCAGGAAAAGAGAGGGATATGGTGACAGAAGGAATCAAATTTACAAGGGCCAGAGGCTAGCAAATGTGGACCTAGGGAGAAAATGAAAATGGTGTTAGATGGCCTGAATCTTGCTCATCTGTATTCCTCAGTCCAACCAATGACATGACTACAGTTGTCGATCTTTAATAGTTGTTAAATTAAAATGAGTTGGGGAAAGTTTAGGGAGAGGTTATAAACAGGCAAAAGAAATTGAGGGAAATGAAATCAGAACATTGGGGTCAGAGGCATCGAATAAGAGCCTATCTGAGATTTTGGAGCCTTCTGACCCGATTCCGGGCTCCACTGAAGCAACACACACACACACACACTAAAACTATCGGTGATCAAACTATCCTTGCCTTGCCTTCTGAGTGACCTAGAGCGAAAGCTCCTCATCTAGAGGAAGATGCTCTTCTGCTCCATGATGAGGTTCTTCTCTCCTGGCAGTAGCGTCTGCCCCCCACGATCAAACCAACTACACAAGTACTAACTTCTACCTGAACTCCACTCTTCTCTTCTCTTCAGGCCTGGAGTGGCTACCAATCCATGCCCGGCCAGGTCTGGGCCTCCTCTTTGGACTCTTCCCCAGCCTGGGCCAGCTTATTCTAGCTGGTGGGGCTTATGCCATTCCCCAGTGGCGCCACCTTCAACTGATGGTCTCCCTGCCCTTCTTTGGCTTCTTCATCTGCTCCAGGTATGTGGGATCTGGTGGTGGGTAGTAGATTTACAGTAAGTCATAGATGAGCACTGCCCCTTCGAAAGTACTTCCAACCCCACCCCACCCCCCGAGTATCAGAGAAGATAAAAGCAGAAAGAACCAATGCCCAAGTTGATAGGTGAAGAAGATATGGTCCAGAAAGGGGTGGGACTGTTTCAGATGTCCCAAGAAAACACCAGCAATCCTGGGTGTAGAGTCCAGAATTCCTAACTCCCAGCCTAGAATACTTTCCAGACCTCCAAAGTACCTTCCTGCACTGATGAGTACTCTTCTTGAGAGCCTCTAGTCTCTCTCTCTCTCTCCCTGTTAATCCGAGTGAAGCCCTACCCACCTCCCACCGACAGGTTCTTCATTGAATCTGCCCTCTGGTTCTCCACCTCCGGAAGACTGGACCTCGCCCTGAAGACCCTGCAAAAAGTGGCACAGATTAATGGGAAACAGGAAGAGGGGGCCAAGCTGAGTATGGAAGTGAGACTCCCTAAGATCTCCCATGACACCCCACCACCACCACCAGGCTTTCTTGACATCACCCACATCCCACAAGCCAGAGTATCTGGTGCTTTCTAGGGCCGGGATTGATGGGAGGGTTCCCAGAGAAATTCTAGGCCCTGGGCTTTGCCTACCTCGGCAGGTTCTCCAGGCCACCTTGCAGAAAGATCTGCCCATGAGCCAAGGCCACCCTTCAATGTTGCAGCTGCTGTGCTGCCCTGTCATTCGCCGCCTCTCTCTTTGCCTTTTGCCTCTGTGGTAAGTCAATCCCATTCAGGCAAAGCCACAAACCCAACAACCGGTCAACAGACTGAAAAAGCAGGGCAGGCTGGGAAGGGAGAAGACTAGCGTGGTCAAAACTCCTACCGTTAAACACACCCCCAATCAGCTAACCAAAGTCTTCACCTATCAAAAGTGGGTCTCCGAAAGCAAAGCATGGGAGGGGAGGGGGCCTGTTGCTAATATTTTCTGCTGGGTAACCTCAAAATGTCATTTAATATCCGACCAATAGTAGTCTCTCTTTCCGAATTAAGGGAGGGTTTTCTGATAGACAACTGAAAGGTTTAAAGTAAATAAATAAACCCCTCACAGGGGAGCAAGCAGATGCAGGAGCAGTCTGTCCGCAGTAACTGCTAAGTAGCTGTGACGCGGCTACACCCAGAGTGCATCATCTCTTCTACTACCCCAGCTTCACAATCTTCTTCAGCTTCTACGGCATAATAATGAGCCTGCAAACGTTGGGAATGGATATCTACCTGATCCAGATCCTCTTCGGAATTGTGGACCTGCCGTTCTATTTCTTGAGCTTCCGGACCACCAAATCACTGGGCCGAAGGCGTAACCAGATGGGCACGATGGTGGTGTCAGGACTCTGCATCATGGCCTGTGCTCTAGTACCCCTTGGTGAGCGCATGTTCCATCCTTTCTCCTGTCCTCCTTCTTGCCCAGACCTCGTCCCATGATTGACCCAATCCCGGAACACGGAGGGTGGAAAAGGTCCAAGACCCCTCAAAGCCTCTCATAACTCTCACCATTTTCATTCCACGGCAGACCGATTATTCCTCCGCATCACCATGGCCGTGTTAGGGAAAGGCTGCATTTCTGCCTCCTTCAACAGTCTCTACGTTTACATAGGGGAGCTGTACCCCACAGTCGTGCGGTGAGTGAAGTTTGGGGGAGGAGTCCTGACCAAAATTATCAGGCTCCGTAACACCCAGAACCTTCCAGACCAAAAGCACACAAAAGTCCATAAACCATTTATTTAAGGAGAAGAAAGGAAAACAAAAACATACAGAAGGCAGGACAAAAAGATGGAATAAATCAGGCCAATTACGTCAGTGACCACAATAAATATAAATTGATTAAATTTGCCAGCTGAGAGACAAAGAGATCTCAAGTGCATTTTTTTAACGTTTATACTCTTTCCAAGACTCATTTAAAATGAACTGAGTGCATGAACATGTAGAAGGATGAGCGATGGAAGGAGATATAACAGGGAAATAGCAACTAGAAGCAAAACAAGTAGGAATATTAAGGAGTCAAATCGATTTTTAAGATATAAAAGTGTAATGACTAAAACATGCCTCTAGAGACAAAATGCCTGATCCAGATGCTTACTTACCTGGAAAACAAGGCTAATTGTAAGAATTGTTGCAAAAATAAATTAAATTGAAACAAACAAATTGATATTTGGCAAAGTAAAAAAAAAATCTTTGAAATTATCCATGGAATAGACAAATCCCTGATAAAAATCACAACAACAGATTGAAAACACAAGTATTACTAGGAATTGGAAAGAAGCATAATTATAAATCTAGAAAGATTAGAAAGATATAAGAAATCCAGGAGCATGGTTATGGTGATAATCACATTGCTAGATGAAATTGACAAATCCTTACAGAAAAGTAATATAGGAAAAATAGTCCTAGAAGGAACTAGAAGCTTGCTTGTGGCTGTTGTGAAGTGCGTACAAAAGCCATCCTCACAACCATTCTTACGTTCGAGCCTGTCGTCACAGCCACTGTGTCGATCCATTTTGCCGGGAACCTTCCTCTCTTTCATTGCTCCTCTTTTTTACCAAGCACAGTGCCCTGATGCCATGTCCAAAGTATGGAAGACCAAGCCTCACCCTCCTCCTTGAGAGCACTCTGGCTCAGCTTCTTCCAACACAGGCTCGTTTGCACTTTGGCATCCAGCACTGTTCGCCAACACCATAATTCAAATACATCACTGTGGGGGAAGGCCAGCCACGCCCTCCAACTAATCGTGGGTTTGATAGGCGCAATTGTACCATTAAAACATATATACATAGATTATAATAAAGTCGTAGAGAATAAGAGAGAAGAGAGATTGAAATAAAGAAGTCAGACACATTTCAGGGTAGCATGCTCACCTCAGCTCCTCTTGGTGGTACAGGGCAGGAGAGAGAGCAGGAGAGAGGGGGAGGGGAAGGAGGATAAGGGGATAGGGGACAGGGGAGGAGAATAAGGGAGAGGGGACAGGGGAGAGAGGATAGAGGAGAGAGGACCTGGAGAGAGGACTGGGAGAGAACCAGAGGGAGATGGATCGGGAACCAGGGGAGAGAGCTCTTTATTGCTAACCCAGGTTTACATATCTTTGGGGGACATGCAAGCCCTCTAATTACCTGTAATTACCACAGGCTTACATCACAGGAAGGGGTTGTACTATAGGTAATACAGTAATGAGAGGGGGACAAACTAGGGGTAAACATGCAATAGGAAGTGGAGGGATATTGGGGGCACACATGTGACAAGATGGGTGGATCCCAGATTCAGGGAGGCAGCCTAACTTTGGATGTCACTGAGCAGGTTTGACTTGTTCTCTGCCTCTCCATGGAAACCATGATCAGTAAGGTGTGAGCCCCACCTATAGTGGACCAGATGCCTCCAGGGAGAATATCTCCAAGCATCTGACCTCCCACCATGTGCTGGCAAACAGCCTCTAATGTTTGGCATATCTTTGGGGGAGACAAAACTGAGGAAAGTCTTTTTATGTCCCACACATCAATTCTTTGATCTTTGTTATCCTTCGTTCTGCTGTGGCAGACATAAGAGGCAATTCAACAGACCATGGCTTGGCTCAGGGGCACTCTCAAAGTGGCATCTTTACTTTTTAGCACTAGAAGAAGTCTTCTGCAGCAGATTTGCCCAGTGCAATACATCCTTTGATTTCTTGACGCCTGTGTCCATGGATGTTGATTGTGGATCTAAGTTAAATGAAATCCCTGACCACTCCACTCTTTCCCCCGCATATCATGATCTGACTCGTCAGTCCATTCATGTGGAGTCTTTATTTTTGATCTTTACCAGCAAGTGCTTCAAGTATTCGCTTTCATCCAACTAGGTCATATCATTTGCATATAGCTGCATAAAGTTAATGAGCCTTCCTTCAATCCTGATGCCAGATTCCTCACACAGTCCAGCTTCTCTGATGACTTTCTCTGCATAGAGGTTGAATGGGTCTGGTGAAAAGATTCAACCCTGACGCACCTTTTATGATTTAAAACTACCCAGCATCCCCTTGTTCTGTTTGAACAACTCCCTCTTGGTCCATGGGCAGGTCTGCATGCGTACAACTAAATGCTCTGGGATTCTCATCCTTCATAATATTACCCATAATCTGTTATGACCCCACAATCAAGGGCCTTTGCCTACTCAATAAAGCACACACAAACATCTTCCTGGTATTTTTAGTTTTCAAGTCAACATTGATTGAACATCAGCCATGCTATCTCTCATTCCATGCCCACTTCTAAATTTGCCTTGAATTTCTAGCAGCTCCCTATCAATGTGCTATTGCAACTAATTTGGAACCATCTTCAGCAAATTTTCCTTGCAAGTTATATTAATAATATTGTTTGATAATATCTACATGCTGATGGGTCACCTTTCTTTGTCATAGCCACAAATATGGGTCTTTTCCCATCAGTTTGTCAGGTGTCTTACACATTCCTTGGCACGGGCACACGAGTCCCTCCAGCATTCACATGTTGAAACATCTTCCTTGGCATGCGCTCAACTCCTGCAGCCTAATTTTTCACCAGTGGCTTCAGGGCACCCTGGACTTCTTCCTTCATTGCCATTAGTTCTTGATTATATGAAGCCCCCTGAAATTGCTGGTTGTTAACCAATTTTATTTTTTTTATTGTCTATCTTCTTTGGATGGTTCCTGTGTCATTAAGTACATTTTGGGCTCCCAACCACGGTCGGTATTTGAAAACCACCAGGGACCTGGAGAAAAGAGATGAGGTTTCATACTCCTGTAAAGATGGACCGTCTCAGAAACACACAGGGGCCGTTCGACTCTGTTTCGTAGAGACTCTGTTTCGAGTCAGAACCGGATCGATGGCAATAGACGGGTTGGGTTTGGAGTCATTCAATATTTTGTCCAGAGAATCCTTCGATATTGCATCTTTTTTTTCTTCTTCTTCTTCTTCTTCTCCTCCTTCTTCTTCAGTTCCTTCAGCCTAAGAAATATTCTTCTCTTTTGATTTTATAACAACAGGCCTTTGCCTATTCATTATACTATAATGATATATATATATATATGCTTATGCCATATAATGTAGTATTAAATTTAAAATGGCGCGTGGGAGAGTGGGGTGCCAGCCCCACCCGCTGCTACTCCTATTGCTACTTCTGGGTTCAGTAATGCACAATTGTATGGTTGAGATATATAAGTATTATATTAAAGTCATCAAGAGCATGGGAGATAATACAGTAATACATTCATACATTCAGACATAGTACATAGTAGCATTTCTCATCTCCGCCCCGCTTGGTGGTCCTCGTGGGGGGAACCCGGCTGCCAGAGCAGGAGCCGCCTCCCTCGCGGGAGCTGCCCTCTCATCCACCGCCCTCACGGGAGCAGCCCTCCTTCCTCAGCCCCCTCAGCCAGCCACCTCGGCCAGCCACCCTCCCGAGAACCAGGTAGCCTCCTTATTTATTGCTAACCACGCATCATATTACTTTAGAGGGATACATGACGGCATTATGTGTCACAGAGAAGGGCAGTACAATTCATCCTTGAACAGGTTTGACCATTCTGGTGTCTCATACAATAAAGCAGGCAATTACTATCCTGGGAGGCATGCAAGCCCGCTGATAGCAGATAGCAACCTACGTCATAGAGAGGGGTTGTAACATAGGCAATACAAGCAATAGGAGGGGGATGACCTAGGGGTGAATGTGCTATAGTAGCCTAAGCTTAGTCATCTTAGAGTGGTCCTGGGCTTGCCTATGGGCACTGCTTCGAGGGAACAATAACAGAAAGGAATGGGCCCTATTTGGGGTGAGTCAGACCTACAGTCTGGCCGCTCTAGATGGCTGATGTTGGGTAGAATAACCTCTGACCTACTTTCGCTGCCTAGTCAACAATTATTTTCAAGCTAAATCTGGCATATATTTTGAGGAGACAACTTAAGAGAAATCCTTCTGTTCCCACAATATAATACTTTATTTTGTTTCCCCAAGCTGCCCTTGGAAATCTTCTGCCTGGCTCTTTTACCTTATCATCTAATTCACTCCCTTTAACTTTTCTAACTTTAAGACCAAGTTTGAGTCTCTTCTAATACCCATTTGATGAAAGACTGGTTTAGAATTAGAAAGCATGCTAATACTCCACATAGTAAATTACTACTCCAGTCAACCAGGAAAACCATTTAATAGAAGTCAATGTCCATTCAAAACATACTTAGTACACAGGAGTAGAAGAAGCTTAGCTTGATATAAAACATCTACCAAAAATCCACAGGAAAATATTACTCTCGATAATGAATTACATTATTATGAAATATCAAATTATGAAATACATTGTAAAGGGCTTCTATTTCCATTCATTGGAAACTAGACTGATCCTCTCACTGAAAATAACAAGCATCCACCCAAGAGCTGGAGAGATCGTAAGGAAAAACTAAGCCAATTATCTTAGGGAAAATGGGACTCCAGACAGGTAAACGGAGCTCCTGAACTCCAAAGCAAACACTAAACTTAGTGGAAACAATCATATGTGGTCCCTTTGAGATCAACATCAACAGCAGAGAAATAAAAAGAAATAAGAAATGTTAGAATTAATGGGAAATGTTTTTTTTAAATAAAGGGAACTTTTTTTGTAATAAAGAAGAGTTTTTAATAGCCTTTAAAGAGAACATCATCAGCTACCTAGACAACCTAGTGAACTCAATAAACAACTAAGGATGCTGGCTACAAAATCAAACCACTAAAATATCACTAACCAGCCACCTGCACGCTATCATTTCAAAAATTAAGATACCATTCAGGAAAACACCGAAAGTGGTATTTTCTTAGGGAATTAATAAGGAGCGCCAAAAAGTGACATGGAGAAATGTTTCAAAACTCTTTTAAGGTCATAGGGATCAGCCATGTCAATGAAGGGCTCACACGAGCGTGTTTAGAATGACGTAATGTGCTAACGGTGTCAATCTCCCCTAGCTTGATTTCGAGAAATCCAGTTCAATCCTAATCAGAATTTCAATGAGAGTATTTTTAGCAACTCCGACATGTATGAGAAAGAACAAAGAACCACAATGGCTAACTCAATTTTGAAACAGTAGAGCAAAAGGAGGGTAGAGACTTGCTGTGGCATCTATTAAAACACATGACAAAGTCACAGCAACAAAAGCAGTGTGCTGTTTGGAGTCAAAGAAGACAGACAAGACTGAAGACAGACAGATGTCAATATGGATATAAGTACAAGTGATAGAGAGAGAGAGAAAGATGTAGACATCGATAGATGGCAACACTATTGATTTGATTACATCAAATAGATGCCAGCTGCTAATTGAAAAGGTGCAAGTTCAAGTTGGCCAGAGATGCCTTGGAAGAAGAGCTTGGCCCTCTACTCCAAATTGTTTTTTTTAATCATCCTTGAAAAGCTTATGGATTACAGTTGAACTCTGACACAGATGGTGATCATGAGTCAGAGCTGACTTGAAGGGAATTGGTAATGGTGGTAGCCACTGTCATCGAGTTGATTGCAACTCAGAGTGACCTATATGATAAAGGGGGATAAATAATCTGGGCAGGGTAGAGGGGCTTGTAAGAACAATTGCCAAGTGTCCTGAACTCAAACTCAAAACACCAGACTGCCTTCAGGTTGATTGGGAGCAACTGGTGGTTAGCAATTCAGTGCATGCCCCACTATGCCATCAGGGTTTCTGTAATAAACAAGGGAGTATAATTAACTAAACCAGCTATAATTGATGCAAGGGAGGGAAGAGAAACTGGGAGGGTTTTTTAGATGATTGGGGAAATCAGATAATCAGATAAAACTCTCAGTTAAGATCAACTGTTAACAGCAAGTCTGAAGGCTTGAAGGCAGAAATAAAATGTCAGGGCAGAAGATACGGGGTTTACAGGGTGGTAGGATTTCATTCTAATACAATGACACATCAGTGTGTGGCTTTAAGCCAGGAGTGAAATGATGTGAGTTATGGTTTTTAAAAGAAACACGTTGGCTTCTACATGAAGGATAGGCTGGGAGGAGGGAGCTGTGATAGTTAGGAATATGTGAGCAGAGTTTAATCAGGTCGCAGCTTGATAGGAGGGCGACTGAGATCAATGCTTCCCAAGGTCAGTTTCCTTCTCTCCTTCTCCCTGGTAATCAGACCAGGGTGCTGCTGCTTACGCTACTGCTTCACCTCACCCATGTGCTGCACTACCTGGGGGCCAAGCCAACCCATGGATCTGGTCACCTTGCCATGCATCGCTAGAGCGTGAGGCTCCTTCAAGATCTGCTTCGCCACACTTCTTGCTGGTGGATCCTGTCATCCTGCATCCCTTGACAGAGCTTGAGACCCACGGGGCCTGCTTCACAAAGCTCCCTCACTACTGACTGTTGCTGCCCCACCCTGCTGTCTGGTGAGTCTAGAGTCTACCTGCCTTGCCTAAGGGCAGACTCTGCTGTCCGCTGCCTTAATCTTGGACCAGCAGCTGAGTGAGTTGAATGACCTTCAGTATATTAACTGTTCCACAAAAGTGAGTTGAACTGAGCCCTCTGTACTGCTGTGAGGACTAATTAGCTGTTACATTCCTTCTTGCTATGTAAATCTAACCAGATAGATAGATAGATAGATAGATAGATAGATAGATAGATAGATAGATAGATAGATAGATAGATAAACAGATCGGTTTATATATATAATCATAAGTATCCTAGTTTTAATTCTCTAGAGAACCCTACCGAACACAGGGGCCAAGGCCATGAGTAGAAGTAGGAAGACTAGTTAGGTTACAATACGGAGGAGCCCTGGTGGTATAGTGGTTACAACTGGGACTATGATCCACATGGTCGGCAGTTTGAAACCACAAGCAGCTCCTCAGAAGAAAGACTGGGCTTTCTACTTCTGTAAGCAGTTACCGTCTTGGAAACCCACAGGGAGTTGCTATGAGTCAGCATTGACTCAATGACAGCAACAGCGGTAGGCTGCGGTAGTTCCCTAGACAAGGGCGAAGCGTGGCATGGGGTTAAGCGATGGGCAGTGTTTGTGGAGAGAAGGGAATATGTGAAGAAACTGTGAATATATTTGGAAGGGTCATCCGGATTTATCTTTTGAAAATGGGACAAGAAAACAGGAGATATCAAAAATGATTCCTGGATAATTCATTTGGGCAGGAGCCGTGGTGGCATAGTGGATTACTCACTGGGTTACTCACTGCAAGGTCAGCAGTTCAAAACCAGTAGCTGCTCTAAGGGAGAAAGATGAGTCTTTCTGCTCCCATACAGTCTCAGAAACCCATGGGGCCAGTTGTACTCTGTCCTACAAGGTCTCTGTGAGTTGGAATTGACTTGTGGCAGTGAGTTCGGTTTGAGGGTTTTGTTGTTGTTGCTGTTGTTAGCTGAAGGTGGTGGTTGATTGCTAGTCTCACTTAGCAAAGTGAGGGAAGTCTGAGAGAGGACCAGGCTTAGAGGTCCTTGGCCATATAAAATCTAGAAGCTCTTTTACACCTCCAAATGAAATGTTGTTTTAGGGTACAAAAGAGGCCCAAACTCAAGTATAATTTAAGGAGAGCATTAATAAGTTTTAAACCAGACAAAGAAACATGAGGAAGACCGTTAGCATGAACTCATAACGGCATTCAAGGATTCGCCGAGATACAGAGCTTTCAAAAGGACAGAGGAGGGAAAGAAAGAAGAAAAACACTGTCACAAAACCATCAACACGTCACAGTTGCAGGTGGGACTAGAGAAGCAGGGACGGAGGGCACATGCATTATGTTAGAAGAGTTTACGAGATTGGTCCAGGTGTCTTCCAATCCAGACAGTCAGGGGATGGTTTACAGGGCATGACTCATGACTGCTTGACCCCCAGTACAGTGATCTCCATCAAGGACACATCCAGGTAAGCCCCTACCAGAGACTACCCTTCCCTGGGCTGGCAAGGGCGGGAGTGGAGGTCATCCACTTTCCAGTGCACTGTGTGCAAGGGCAAGACATCTCACCTCCCTGATTAATGGTCAAAAACAATTCAGTGGAGGCTTAAAAGCCACCTGGGACTCTCCAGATGGATTGTGGGCTTTCACTGCCATCCATGGCCTTTGGCAAATGGGAAGCTCCAAATGTTAAGCTCTAAAACAATATAAAATAGAGAGTGAGCTGTTTAGCATGGATTTCAGGGACTAGATGGCTTGGGAACTGGTTGCCAATCACACAACAGGCCAATTGCTTCTCAGCTTTTCCTTCCAGCCAAGTTAAGCACAAGCTTTTGACCCTGGAATGAGTGTGAAAAGAAGCGACAGGCGGTGTGAAGGCACCCGGAGAGCCCACTGACCTCGCCTAATTGCTCTTGCTTCCACAGGCAGAGGGGCCTGAGCCTCATGATGATCCTGGCCAATGTAGGCAGCACCGTAAGTCCACTGTTGGCCATGACAGCCGAGATCTACCCACCCCTTCCTCTACTTATCTACGGTGCAGTACCTATGGCTGCCAGCTCCATCACTGTCCTCCTCCCAGAGACCCTGGGCCAACCACTGCCCAACACGGTGCAGGAAATTGAGAACAGGTAGGCTGCTCATCCTCCCTGTCGTCAGAGCTGGAAGAAGCTCACAGTCCCTTGGTTCAGACCCCTTGACTAATCAGACCAGATCCTGGGGAGACCAGTGATTGAGGTCATTCATTCAGCCAGACCCCAGTGGCGCCAACACTAGAGTCTAAGCATATTTTCTGCCTCATGGGCCAGGGCTCTGTTCTCCAGGTACGTTGAAGTCCCTGGCATCCTCCTTGGGACTCCTAATTCTAGACAGTGGGTGATTTGAACAGAAAGCAAGGTGAGTGAGAAAAAACACCTAGAAAGAAATCAAATGAGGAGGCAATGCCTAGGAATCCCCCGGATCTGCTCCTGACCCCGGCTTTCTCCTTCTTCCGTAGGTGGAAAAAGAAATCTAGGCAGAAGAAAGAGGAGCAGCAGATGGTGCCACTCAGACCTCGGCAGAAGACAGAGGTGGACTCTGAGTATTAAGAAGAGGCTTTGTAATGTCACAGGCCGGCCGTTGGGGCCAGCTTTCCTGAGGATAGAGGGAGAGACCCCCTGGACCCCCTAAATACCCACACCAAAAGAAGGAATTTGTTTTCTTTTTCTTTTTTTAATTCATTTATTAGGGGCTCATGCTTATCACAATCCATACATACATCAATTGTGTAAAGC